CCTCTCCAAACGACATGTACGAGCTCTGGCTCGACTTTATGGCCGCTATTCAGACCAAAACTTTCCCTCATTTTTCTGCCCCCAAGAAGAGAAGGCCGCCATGGATAACCAACGACATCGTAAAGATCGCACGAAGAAAGCGCCAACTATTCAACAGAGCACGGGAACGACACTGCCAGTCCAGCTACACTGAAGCCAAGAAATTGCAGAGGAAAGTGAAGAGGCTCGCGCACATAGCGCATCAGGATTATGTCACGAGTATCGCAGCCCGAGCAGCCAAAGAGCCCAAGTTATTCTGGGCCTATGTACACTCCCGACGGAAATCCTCCTCTCCCAGTCACCCATCCTTCAAGCACAACCATAGATTGGTATCCGACCCCTCCACAAGAGCTACCCTATTTAGCGAACGCTTCTCATCAATTTGGTCACCCCCTGAAACACCTACCCCATCTTTATCCCCGGTCCCCTCGACACCACCACTAGTACCAGCCTCAATCATCGACAGCCCTGCATCATCCCCTCAGCCCGTTCTCTCGTCACTATCAATCACAGAACAGGATGTACAAGACTCAGTGTCCTCCATCTGCACAGCCCAGAACCCTGGGCCAGACCAAGTGCATCCTGCATTTTTCAAGCTCTCTGTCCCTGTAATCAAGGCTATCCTGACCATAATGTTCCAGCGCCTCTTGGATTCCGGCACTATTTCCTCGGCCTGGAAGAGGTTCATTATAACACCTGTTCACAAAGGAGGTGGACGTGGCACGGACACCACGGACTCCAATCGCTCCATCGCATCAACCTCAATAGTGTGCCGCACGCTCGAAAGAATAATCAATAAGAAATCTTGGGCCACATGGAGGACTATGGACTGTTCAGCCGGGCACAGCATGGCTTCCGATGAAGGCACAGCTGCGAGGCCGCCCTGGCCGTGGCTGTCCACACACTCAGAACGTATCTTGATCAGCGAACTCCATGCGAGTTAGTCCAGTTGAACTTCTGCAAAGCATTCGACCGGATTGACCATGCGCTTCCTCCCCAAAAGATGGAGAGGGTTGGCATTGAGGGCGCCTTGGCCAACTGGCTGATGAACTTTGTCAGTGACCGGACCCGAGTGGCGTTCCATGCCCACCTCTCGGCGCCCTGCACTGTGCTTGCCGGCGTCCCACAGGGCAGCGTACTGGGGCCAACGCTGTTCTCCATGAATGTGAATGACATCACTGATGGGATGCAATTCAAAGCCATATTATATGCCGATGACCTCACGCTCATACAGCCCCGGAACTCACCTGACGCATTTACCTCCCTATAAAGTGACCTCGACGCCAGTCTCCACTGGTCTACGGTCCACAAGCTGCCGATAAACACCAAAAAAGCTAAAGCATGACCCTCAGCATGTCCTCATAGAACAGATCACTTACTTGCAGCCTTACGCTTGGTGACATCCCCCTACCTAATGTCAGCAACAGCAAAATTCTTGGAGTTACATTCGATCAGCGCCTAAATTTAAGTAGACACGTGCACGAGACCACCTCCCGTGCGAGGCGCACATTGGGATTCATTACTCACATCACCCACGGCATGCCGGCGGCATCACTTAGAGATCTATACACGCTCTGGTGCTCCCTCAACTCGAGATTTTGTTCAGCTATATGGGATCCCCCCTCGACTGCCCTGAATGGCTCCCTTGAAAGTATCCAGCGGAGAGCAGCCCTCACGCTCTACAGACGTGTGTTGCCATCGTCGTGCCACACGGCCTCAAGGGAACTCCCTACCACAAGACTCCTACAGCACGCCAAGTGGCAGAGCCTACAACACCGTAGGGATATGGCAGCAATCAGGTTGCTCTGCCTCTTTATCGGCACCGGTCCGCCTAAAGTCCCCTTTCCACTGAGCCTCAACAAACGCACTGCAGGCTGCAGCCCCCTCTATCGCGGACCCTGCGCCACAGCAACTCGTGGCTCCTACATGATGCAACTCTCTGTAGGTCCCTTCCCAAAAGATGATAGAAACTTTCCCTGACCACCATGATGACATTCGGGAGCTGTGCAGAGCAATCGCGTCCCCCGTATAGTGCGTGTGTGTGCATGTATGTGTTGCTTAAATACTGTTCATTATGTGTGCCTCGACTTGTTTGTCTGTTCCTGACCTATACTTACCTTCGTTGCCCTTTTTTATATTTTTTTCTTTCTATTTTTCCTGGTCTTAATTTATAGCGCCGCCCGGTCGGTGTCAGGGGCACGAAACGTGTATGGGCGCATGCCTTTTCCTGAATTCCTGCACACCGGGCGGCGCTGTGCAGTAGAAGTGCAATACAATACAATACAATATTTCGAAAAACTAGAAAGTTTAGAGTCAATTTTCTAAAACAATCTACTTGTTATCACTTTTATTTTTTATTCACAGTTAGGTAATATAGTAGTCTATTAGGAACTACCAACGGAAATTGTAACATCATGTTTGTACGGCCACTATCAAGATTCGAATCTCGTGCTATGAGCGTTTTGGACGGGACTTCGCACAGGCGCTCTGCTGAGCAGACGTTTTGCCTATGTCAGGTTTTCTATTTATCGTTAGCAGTTACCTCAATATGCAACCATAAACATTAATAAAATTTAAAGTAGTGCACTTTAAAACAAAAGTTACCTAAAGCCCGCATCCACAAATGCGGGCACCAGCGCTTACTTCCTCCCAATTGGGGGGAATGCAGATCGTTAGAGAATTCCTCTGGGGCTTTTTAATTTCGTCTTTGAGTTTGAAATACCGAACTTGATATGTAATTGTCATATTTTCTTATGTCAAACAGATATGCAGTGCATATACATATGTACGATTTATTATCTTATGCTTAGGAAGTACGCTTTATTTTGTGCCCATATGGACTCTTTCGTAAAAGAACGAGAATTTCGTAGCGTTTAAGGCTTCAAATGTGTTATTCATTTGTTTAGGTTTCATTTCTATTTTCAGTGATTCATGCCGGGTTACTAAGACTTTTTCCTCTTGACCGGGAGTCTAGATGTTACGTATCTTTCCGTCAATACATAGGGCAAAGCTCACACACCTTGCCAATCACCCCAGTGCCAAGTAAATAAATATTGTTAGGATAAATATTGTTGCTTCACTGGCTTTTACACTCATATGTTTAGGTAATTATTAACATTAAGTAGAAAACCTTACATGGGTCAAACTTCTGCTCAGCTGAGCATCTATGCGAAGTCCCGCTCAAAACTCTCATAGCACGAGATTCGAGTCCTAATAGCGGCCATACAAACAATATATTACAATTTTTGTTGGTAGTTCCTGACAGACTACTTTATTACCTAACTGTGAATAAAAAAGGAAAGAAATGAAAGGTGGTTTTTTTTAAGAAAGTCGACTCCAAACGTGCAAATTTTTCTAAATATTCGTTTTTCAGGTAAATGTTCCGCGTCATCTATTTTGAGCAAAATATTCAAATTATATTCAGAAGAAATAGCTTAATTGGAGCTTTACGGTGATGTAAAGATCATAAAAATATATCGATTAGGTCACACAGCCAGCTTGCTATACTTCGTCAAATATTGCTGTAAAGAAGCGGTTTGGCAATTAAAAAAAAGACACACAAAAAAAACATTGAAGATGTTATGAATCAGACGCTTTATTATCATAACTGGCCGTTTGCATCTTCTTTTATTAAAGGAATTTAAGGTAGCTACTAAACATTTTAGAGGCGTTAAATATTAGTTAGCGTATTTTTGTGAGTGACTTGTATTACTGGGCGACAAGTGAACGAAAACCAAAATGTACGCTTTTATAGATGGCATACAAACGAAAACTACATTTAATAATTATATTACCTTATAAATCACTGCAATAGCTAGCTAGAAAAAAAGAAATCAACCACATAAAAGGTGGGCTTTTTAGAAAATCGACCTCCAATTTGCAAAGTTTTCAAATAGTCCTTGTTGTATGAAATTACACTTTCTTTTCTCTTTTACATACATTATTAAATTTGTTATCAATAAAAAGAGTATAGTCTTAGCTTTCCGAAAATATTAAATATGTTACGATATCTCAAATGGGTCACCCGGAAGGGCTGTTCAAGCTTTGACAATTATTGTCAAAGGGACACATTCTGACAATCTTTAAAACGAAAGTGAAGATAAATAGCAATACAATTATTGATTATAAATAATTTATGCTCTGTGAGTGGGCGAAAAAAGTTACATTGCACTACCAAAAAAAGTCAAAAAGCAGAAACGAGGGAAACATGGCACCTCCGACAGGTGAGAGAAAGGTCAGTTCGCATCGGCTGCTTACAATGTCCATATCTCGAGAACAAAACATCGCCCGAACTTGCGGTTTGCACTCCCCTTTACAGAAGGGTTTTCTAGAAAACATACACTTTTTCGTCAAAATGAAAAATTTTACCCCAATTCCGTGCTTGAGTTAAGATGAAACCATCCAAAAGAATACTGTGAATGCTTAGTGAAGAAAGGTAAAAAACACAGGCGAGCTGGTGAATGGTATCCATAATAAACCTGAGACGAAGGAAAAATAAAAAAAACGGACAGTACAACGAAGTCTCTATTATAGTAATAGGGACTTCGTTGTACTGTCCGTTTTTTTATTTTTCCTTCGTCTCAGGTTTATTATGGAGACTGTGAATGCTTTCGTTTTGACGTATTTATAACAACCAACGAAAATCGATAAAAAAATCAAGCATTAGAAATGCGTGGTTTCACTCTGCTCCCCTTAAAGATTTCGTATGAAACAATTTTCTAAGAAATAAAGAGCGACTTTTTAATTACTTAAACGGGGCTGTTACATGTATATTTTTGTGGCATATAAAAACAAACTCCTTGACACGCGTGTTGTAAAACCACCCCTAGAAATCTAATGTAAGTATCCAATCATTAAAATTGTTTTTCGAAACCAGGTCATTTATCTGTGAGAAATGGGAAACCGTTTCATTTTTTTTTTACGTTTTCATGTAGTCACGCTTTTAACTTAAGAGTACGTACCACCAGAGCATTTCGGGACGGACTCGATTTGGTTCGTTTCACCTCCACGTTCAGGAATGGGTACAGACCAGTAGAATTTAGCACGCTGAGGTAGTTCGTGCGGGACACTCCGGGTTGCAAAGCCCATGACTTAATACCGTATCTCTTGAGTAGACTTTTAATTACTTCGGCCTCTTTTCTGTAATCACCTGTTTGTAGCATAAAAATCAAGGCTCTCTTTTATATTGGAGTAATTTTATCCTAAGGAGATAAGTAGTGCTTTATCAAAATATGCATGGATAATTCACGTCCAGGTACATCCAATGCCCGAAACGCGTACAGGGTTAGTGTGAAGCATACCCATATCTTGACTACTAGGTGTGGGCAATTCATAATTATTAGCTTAGATCGAATTCGAATCAAAGGGTTGCAAAATGGTTGCCACAATGTAGAATATCGAATCAAATATCGAAAAACAAATGCTGCATTTCTAATGCAAAGAAACTATAAAAAACTGCCTCAACCAAGAAAGGCATATACGCTAACTCTAACACAAGCACGCTGAACAAAATCCGCTAGCACAAATAAAACGGCGTTAATTATTACTCGCCAGCGCGACATTTCAGGCGGAGTTGATGAATGTGTTCACCCATTCTCGCGTGGACACACAGCGTCGGCAGCGTGCTAGGAGTATAGAAAGGTGCTGCCGAACAGTTTGAATCCGAGCTTTGAATCCGAGAGGCACCTTACGCCACCTAGCCGTGGCACCTCACTTAAAACCGCGGAAGGCGTCGGGTTATAAGAAGAACCAAGGAGGAGGGTTCTATTTTTGTTGCTATTCGTGTTGTGGTAATTAATTGACTTATTATGGGCGCAACAATAGGTTTGTAGTGCAATGAGCTTGCGGTCGTTGGCGGAAGGGACTTGAACTCAATAGGGCGACATGCGTGGTCCACGGGTTTTCGTCGAGCGCGTCGAAGAGGGTAGAGCTCAACCACTTCGTTCGAAGAATACGGCTACTTTTCATCGCGATAGTTAGTGGAGACGTGTTAGAGAAGGCTTGACTTAAATTATACCCGTGCCACACGGGCAACTCGAATGCCATTTACAACGAATGGTAATTGAGCGGACGGCCAATCAGCGCGCGATACTCTGGGCGTAGCGCATTCCACGCACGACAGATTGCGAGCTGATTCGTCGATCACACAAATTACATTCGTTGTAAATGGCATTCGAGTTGCCCGTGTGGCACGGGTATCATTCCGAGACCCGGGAGGGCTTGACAACCATACGGGTGGCGTTCTTGAATAAACGAAGAGTTTTACCAGCAGCATTCGATGCGTAAATTTATACGATAACTTGAGTACTATGTATTCGAAAGTGGAATGAAGCTTTTCGGTCAGTCGCTATTTGATTAGAATTCGAAACTAGAATATTCGCGCATCTCAAATTGTTATATGAAAGCTTTAAAAAAATGTGTTTTTTTCTTTCTGCGCATTTTTAATACTGTAGTCTTGTAAGGATACTGTTCTTCCATTTTTTGTGTGTACCGGGGGGTCCACCCATGTAAAATTGCCCTCCGAGTAGAGGGGAGGAGAGGGGTCGACCCCGTATTTGGGGCACGCCGACGTTCGATGCGCCAGCTTTACCGCAATGTTTCTCGTCCTGTCACGTGATTTCCTGCCTCGATGTGGCTGGCCACCACGGAAGCCGCCATTTTGCCGTGGCGAGAAATTTCCAGACTTGTGCCTATCTCAAATACTCTACTAAAGATACTGTATTTCAAATACTTTTTGAAGTATCTTGGTATCTTGCAGATACTTTTGATCGAGAGTATTTGATACTCTATATTAATTATGATTCCGAGTATCTTGTACTCATTATCACAAATACATTTTTGAAATTTAGCCATTTTCTGAGTTTTCGGTAGGAAGTGGCCTGGGCGTGGCACGAGCAAACGTGTCCGAGTTTTTCGGTATGAAGTGGCGTGGGCGTGGTATGAGCAAACGTGAACATTCTTTCCAGGAACCAAATCCTGTTGCTGGCTCCCATAAGCTACGGTGACTTTGGTAGAGCTCGTGGAAAAACATCGCTTTTTTTGCTGATTGTGACTTATAAATCAGCCAAAAGTTCGTAAATGAAGGTTTTCCCCTCGCCTTCCCAAATGCGGCTTTTGTTTCCTAGAGTTTCCGCCGAAAAATCCTCAAACAAAAGGGGCGGTTTTATGGAAGTTAGGATTGCCACACTGGGGCGCAGCGCAGACCGGGAAGCGACCTACGAAAACAATGCAGACCTGAGTGTCAAGAAAATAACAGATGAAAAAAAAAACAGGAGCAGTAGACAAAAAAAAAAACATTTTTGTTTTTCTTGTTGTCTATTTGACCCCCTACAGCAAAACGTCTAGGCTTTCTTTTGTTTATTTTCTTTTTGTTGTCAGTCCGTCACTTATTACTCTCGCGAACACGGTTTGTAAGCGAACATTGATAAACAGATAACAGGACAAGAAACGAACTAAAAGCAGGATGACCTCTCAAAATCCCAACAAAGCGCCCCCCAACGCTGAGTGCTTTTCTGAACGCAACCTACTTGAAGAAGGTGCGACCACTGCCCTGGCTACTATGTGGGTTCTCTTTGTTATCAATTCACTGATATCTGTATCCCAAGTTCGTTTATAGTGAACTCCCCATATAGAGAATCCGTATTCCAAGTTCGTTTATAGTGAACTCCCCATATAGGAAATATGGATTGTAGATAAACGATGTTTCTAAGATGCTCCACAGGACGTGATATTCAGCGTTGTCACTTTAGCTAAAGCGACCTCTTTATTTCTGTCCCAGAAATGTTTTGTAACATGTATCAGTGATATTGCCACGCGCGTCGCCGAGTGAGCGCGAGGCCGAGTGGTTACCGCGCTTGGCTCTCGCGCGGAGCCTCCGGGTTCGATTTCAGGAAGCGGACTCCTCTTTTATTTATACTTCCAACTTGACATTCCCGTAGGTTCGAGAACCTTGTCGTGTGATCAAGTTACGAATGTTCTACGCGCAGAACATTCTATACGCCGAAAGTTTCAGAAACCCACGCCGGCACAGAAGGTGCTCCGCGTGGCGGTAACGAAAGCTTGCGCTGGGAACCTCCTTGGTTCGATCCCCACCGCCCCCGCCCGTTTCGATCTGGATGAGTTTCGTACAGGCACGCGTTCGTGTAATCACTACTGCGTAATGCACGTTAAAACCCCCAGGGCCCGTTTGCTCGAAGCACTGACCGCGGCTAAAGTTAGCCGCAGTACCTAAGAGAGGGATTTTGAAATCAGGTGACTGGGGCTCGGTAGGGACGTGGGGAAACATGGCGGTGCCCCAGTGAGTGAGCGCCGCTCGCTTTGGAACTTGTATGTCGTTGTAGCTGCAATATTGGGCGTGTTAATCAGCAACAAATGGTGTAGGAGGCTTTCGCTTTGCCTTACCTCGCTTAAATCGCAAAGCATGAGCAATGACCTTGCCCCATTTTTATGTAGTCTTTCGATTCTGGCCATTCCTAAGCCTAAATGGACGCTATAACTGTCGGCATGGCAACGTCTTTGGAAAGTGGATTGAATTGACTCAATCGGCCGAATATTGATAGCACACAAAACGTAATAGAGGTGCGGTACCTAGGTACTGCGGCTCCTAGGTACCGCGGTTAGCGCTTCGAGCAGACGGGCCCAGGTTAGCGGTTGTACTGCACTGGCTCAATTTCTCATTTACAGCTAAGCGACCGGTCACCCGTTGAGACGTACCAACATCAAGGCTGAACAAACATACAGAAGCAAGCCAATTTTTTTTTCTTTTTGGGCCGGAGTCAATTTTGTCTTAGCGCTCGATCCTGCTGTTTTGCCGACATCGACGCCTACGACGCTAGCCATTCTCGCTTTTGTTTTTGGCACAAGTTAGCCCCCATTAGACGTTTACTTTCTTCAGTTATTCACCGCCTCATCATTTGTCATTCGTGACAATAATTTTCTCCTTATAGTCGGACTGCATAAAAAAACCTACGACGTTTTTTTTTAGTTTTTTTTTTTTGCGTGCTAATGAGCCATTCTGGTAACCCAGATTTGCGCGGCTGTATAATTGTCGTGGCCACTGACGTCGATACAAATTAGGCAATGCGGAAGTATCTTCAAAAGGAATTGAGTTACATTTCTAAGTATTTGTACTCTACTCAAGATACTTGAGTAGTATTTTAAATACTTTATGAGGCAAGTATTTAGAAACTTAACTTAAACACTTTTATCGAGTATTTTGTCCGACACTGGAAATTTCTAACCTGGTGAAACCGTCCCGCTCAGCCGCTGCGGCTGGCCAGAGCGCCGTGACGGCAGAAATCGCGCCGCTCTAGGGCCGAAATCCCAGCATGTGAAACCCGCTTTAAGCGGGTTTCACATGCAGCGATTTTGGCCTTAATGTGGCGCGATTTTTCCCAGTCGCGGCGCTCTGGCCAGCCGCAGCGGCTGACCGGCACAATTCCACCAGGTTGGAAATTTTTCGTCGCGGCAGAGCGGCAGCTTCCGTGCTGGCCACTCACAGCACGGCGGGAAATCACGTGACAGGAGGAGAAACACTGCGGGAAAGCCGGCGCATAGGGCGGTGGTCTTTACACGTTCGGGAAGCAGACGACAAGCATAGAAAGTACGCAAGCAACTGGTTTGCGGTTTCTTTTTTCCGGCGGGTCTAGCTTCTTTGCTTCAGAATTCGCGTCGGACCTGTTCAGGAGATTATGGAGGAGGCGAATTGCTGTCCCCTTGCTCAGAATTCGTTTTCTCAATTAATAACGCGGCTGTTTTTTACTTTCCTCGCCTGAGTAGCAACTGTAGCGAGCGCAAGAGACGCTAAACGGAAGGGGCTTGTACGAGATCTCGCGAGAAAAACAAAAGAAGAAAAACTGAGCGACATCGACGTGTCGTTTCCAACACAGATCGTCACATTAAGTAGGAGAAATGTATCGCGCACATTTCAATGAACTGCTTATCAGTGAAGTGTCGAAGCGTCGGGTTCTTTGGGTCTCGCAGCTCAAAGAATTTAGGAACATCTGCTTACTGCAACGGCGCATCTGCTTGCTGCAAGCAACATTGGCCATCGCAACGGCAGAAAACACTCATGTGAAGTGAAACCTCGCGGTCTGTGCCGCCGCGGCGCTAGCGGCAACGATTTCGGCCGCAGAATCACTGCATGTGATACCCGCTTTACAGCTCCTTGCTGTTACCGCGCCTTTGTTTGGTTCTGCGACAGTCGCTGCCTGCGGAACGTGCGCTGCGTTTGAGTCGAAACCATCGTCTGCTAATGACGCCGGCTCTCTGCACCGTATGCTGTTGGCGTCGAGCATCCTCTGTGGTGACTGCGCCGCCTCCTACGTTGCGGAAACTAAAAACTTCCCGGAACATCTACGCCAGCATCAGTATGACATCAAAGAGAATAGCATGCAGTGTAGCGCGCAGGCAGAACAGGTCCCGAAAGAGGGCCACACGATTGGATTCAACAACTGCGCTGTTCTTGGCACGGAAAGAAACTGGCGAAGACGCCTTTTTTTAGAGTCCTGGTGCATTCAGAACACCGAAAATAACGTCAACCGGTCAGCTGGGATACTTCCAAGCGCCTACGCGTCCGGTTTGCGGTGTCTCACGGGAGGCGCTACGGACCATAAAACACGTGCAGAAACAACGGCCGCTTTAAAGAAGCCAACAACACCGGGCAATTCGGAGGACGACAACAAGAACAAAAACAGTCACCCGTGATCAAGGGGCCGAACTGGCCTTGAAACGTCGAGCTCTCTATCGATTTTTGATAGAATTTTCCTTTCATTCATCGCACAAATTTGGCATGACTACCGCTTTCCAGAATCCTTCGAGTGCCGTGTTCCCAAAATAAACGCGACACCGACATCTGAAACCAAAACCAAACGTCTCCCGCGTGTCCTGCGCTGTGTTATTTTTTTTATGTATCTTGCTTGCCCATAGTTGCTCGTTGCCCGTCTAGCGTACAGCATAGTAAGAGAAAAATAAGTATGCTGTTTTATTTACAGTTTAGTAATCATTTCCGCTCTGATTATATGCTTTTCACTGTTATTCAAGCGTAAATTTGAAGTGTTCATAAAAATCCCGACCTAAAACGTGGCCGAGGGCGCGTCTCCCGTTTCGACCAATCACTGACGTGTCTCTTGTGACGTCGCGGTTTTTGGCCCGTAACGTCATGCGAGCTCCACTCCTGACTTCTCCCGCATCTCTCGGAGCGTCGCCGCAATCGATCCTCGTACGATTATTACCGCGACTGTTTAATTGGTTTGAGCGGAACACAAGCGCCGGGTTCGGCTGAAATTTGGGCAACGTGGCCTGGGACGTGCCTGGAACCCAATTCAGTCGCCAAAAAAAATCCAAAAATTGCCTTCATGGCCCCTTTAAGTAACAAGGTAATGTATACAATATGATTCAAAGCTTAATTTCCTCGTATACTTTAACAAATTAAAGTTCCGTTCCTTGTATATATTTCAAAAAAAAATCTAGGCGCCGAGTTAGGTAGTTTATCACCCTAGGAACCACCTCTTTGCAAGACTATTAAGCTGTCAGGAATGGCGAAGTTGAAGGGGGCGGGGGTAAAAGGGGGGCGGGAGGGGTTAAGACGGGGGGGGGGGGGGGGGCCGAATGCACTTTATTCATTTATTGAGACTTATGTAGTGTATAACATGTTTTAGATCATCATCCCAAGTATCAGACGCCTTTCAGCCGAAATTTGAGGTTGATCTGAAAATTTAGAACCTCAAACTGGCCGAGGATAAAAGGGGGAGCCCAGTTTTACCTTCGTTCGATAGAGTCTGGGTATTTTAGCCCTAATTTGTCAAACAAGTGCCAGAGTTAAGCTCCACTGCTGGCAGTTTAGATTTGATTTAGCATATTCGGGTTTAAATCACCAAAAAGTGCCAGAGTTAGTCTTCACTTCTGGGTTTTTTCGTTTTTCTTTTTTCTTTTTTTGTAGCATTGTTTGGTCTAAATTGTAAAGCAAGTGTCAGACACAAACTTGACTGCTAGTTCTTCGGTTCATAGGTGATAGTTTTTGCTCAGGTATTGCACTTTTCCAATATTTGGCGAGCCATAAAAAAGGTCATAAAAACGCCCCAAAGAAGTATTGTGGCATTCACTAAAGCCTTGGAGCAAATCCGTCTTAGGCCTAAGTTAGGCCCCTCGAATTTTCAAGCTTGTGCCATGCTAGGCGTTTCTTTAGCTTGCCACTTGGGATTACTAAAAGCATATAGGTGGGAAGCCTTTGGAGGCAAAATGACGCCACGAGAGTTGAAGTCAGATGTGTGGAGGGAGACGCTTCCAACGATGACGAAAACCACAGCGGTTTTAGTCATCCTTGGGGGAGCGTCCCTCCACACATCTGGCTTAAACTCTTGTGGCGTCATTTCGCCTCCAGAAACTGTCTGCCTCCATGACAGAAAGCTACATCTTGTCTTTCAGAGTTTGCGCCTTGAAATGCTTGATAAAAAAATGTGTTTATTGTAACAGGACAGCAAGGAAAGATTTAAAAGGCGAGGATATGGGACGCAACAATTGCATAGTCTAAAGCGTCGTTATTAGCGCCAATATTCAGTTGGCGCACGACGCAGAGCTGAAATAGGCGTGTGTTTTGACCTACACTGCTCATATTTAATGCTCCTATCAAGAAAAAGGGCAATCCTGTGCTTATGTACTATCGGGGAAAAATGAAATGCGAACAGAGGAGCGCGTGGCTCGCGGTACAGGCTGCGCCGCCTGGAAGTGAGCCTAGGAGCGAGGGTGCGTGGCCTACTCCGAAGTGTTCACGCCCCTCCCTCTGCGCTCCCTAAGCTTCAGCAGTGCGCCTCTTAGTGCGCTGAAAACTGTCACCGCTATCTTTGCTGGCTCAGCGCGTGCAGTGCAAAGAAGCTCGCCGCACTCGCCGAGCAGGCAAAGATAGCGGTGACAGCTTTCAGCGCACTGAGAGGCGCACTGCCGAAGCTGGGGGAGCGCCAATCGAGAGTCGTGAACACATCGAAGTAGGCCACGCACCCTCGCTCCTAGGCTCACTTCCAGGCGGCGCAGCCTGTACCGCGAGCCACGCGCTCCTCTGTTCGCATTTCATTTTTCCCCAATAGTACAGTACAGTCTGAGCGATAGCTGCGACATGTCACGGTGAGGGAGTTGCGCATCGTGTGTCGTGTTCACGAACCGTCGGGTGTTGTCGGCAAAGCCTCATTCGGCTTCGTTCTCACGAGCACGCACCTCACAGTCCTCCCTGCCAGGAAACGGCAGACGCATCGGCGTTGCCATGTGTGCTTCTCTCTGCCTCTCACGACAAGCGCGACGCTATCACACACGGTGACGCCAAGTCACCCGCGCCTGCCGCTTTGGGCCTTACCCTCGTCAAGCTTGAGCATGTTTTTTTGTTTAGGACGCCTCAGGGATCTACCAATGATCACGTAATGTGCAGGCCCGTCTTTTGTAGTCGTTGACAGACTATGGGTTCAGGGGAAGCTCCTCCACTCACTCTGCACTTTAGCAGAGCGAGCGCTGAAGAGGAAGTCGCCTTCTTTCTACCGTTCTCTCATTAAAACTGAAGAGAAGTGGGAGGCGCTTCCCCTGAATACTTAACCTGTCACTGACTATAGCCATCTAGACATTAGTGGATAGATGCTGGAATGGGCAAAATGTTTAAAAACGTATCAAAATACAAATACAAGATATATCGACAAAATGTATTTAATTACTAATCCGATTGCATCATCTAGAAAAGTATTTGAACACAATGTACAAATACAACGGAAGTATTTAATCGTCTTCAACTAATTTTAAAAATACATTTTGTTCCCTATAGTTCCACATCTTAGACTTACAACTTTCCCCGGGTAAAAAAGGTTGAGCCCAAATAAAGGTTTAAAATACGTTTATCATAAGATAGGAGAGTAAAACGTCAGGACGCACGATGTATTCAATACAAGACTAATCTAAAAGACTCAACTGAAGCAATATAGCCTTTTCAAACATGTCGTAAATGCGACGTCTAAAAAGTTAGATCAATAAACCAAAACGTCAAGAATTGTGCCCTCCCCGTTCTTTCCTTTCCCTACTTTTTTTTTTTCTTCCATGTTATTGTAAACGAAGCGCAGCAAGTATCGTGCTCTTTGCATATGACTTTCATCGCGAAGAGTGCATATTATTGTATTTCATTACGAAGAACAGTGCCCAAAATTTTATTTGGGCAGTATTTAAGATAAAATATTTAAAATGCAAAATTTAAGGATTTCAATATATGTTAGAAATACATTAGCCAATGTGTAATTAAATAGCAAATCAAAAGTACTCGAAGTATTTTAAATACCTATTTCAATTACTGGTATTTGAAATACTGCCCATCCCATAATGCATGGAGACGGCCTAATCCTTTCAATAGGAACGGCGGCTGGCGCCACCTAGCAAAAGCTTTTAACCTCAGCTATTAACTCCCATTAAATATAAAATTATTATTAATAATAAAAAAATTTTTATAGCGACATCACGGCAATTGTGGCCATCTAGGAGTCACTGCACGAAACTCATGCGTACATGCTTGTTCCACAAAGACTCTATATGTAAAGGTGATTATCAAGGCTCGTGGTGTTGCTGTGTTCAAACGCGCCCGCTTCACACTCAATGGACACGGGATCGAATCCCGAGAACGGCATGCCATCTTTTTTAAGCTATGGGCAATATTGACGACGGACACCCTACGCCCTTGTACGCCAACTACACCATCAACAACGACAGCGGACGTAGTGTGCGGTGATGGGAGGAGTCCATACCAGCTATCATTGTAAACATAGATAAATTCGTCCCTATTGCATCAAGAACTCGCATGAGTATTATGAAAAGAAAACTTATTATCATGGTTGAACAGAACGTGAAAGGTATAAGAGAGATCTAGTAGTATCTAGCAAGGCAATAAAAAAAGCTTTTTAGATATTCTTCATTTTACTGCTTCATTTATGTTTATCAAGATATATGTTCAGATACATAGCAAGTAGACAAATAGTACACTGCAAGGTTTAGGTGATTGCCTTAGCCACATTGCTCTTAAACTACATAATGGTTGCCGTTACGTACCTTTATTTTGTATGCATGAATTGTACGCTATTTTTACCATATCTGCCGCTTGAAGTTCGCCATCTTTCTTCGTTGTACTTTTTTCCAGAACTTCTGGATAAAGAAATATACAATGTATATTAAATTTAATGACATAATTCAAGCACATATTAATATTTCGAATCTTATTATATTTGAATTTATGCCTTCTTAAAGTATGGACTTTCTCGGGCTGTAGCATGGTAGCATGATATCGCACCGTTTAGATAAATAAATTTCCTTACCATGAAGTAGTTTCCGGACGTCAACACGATGAATATACTTGCTGCGTCCTTGTGAATCTAACTGATTCCACCTATTGCAAACGTGCTCATAAAAATTTTTACAAGGCAGTATGGAGTTGTTGATTGTATCTGAAAAACGTTTTCCTGAAATGTTTCAGTTTACATGTGAGATAATATCATTGCAATTTTCCTTAAGGTTAATAAAGATTGGTGTTTATGTGTGCTTTATTTCCACCCACCGCAATATAGTAAAAACTTCTCTGTAAACTAGCCGACATTACTTAGAGTACTCATAACAAACTGTTATTATAGACCTTTGCAAAAAGAGCGCTTTGGCCGCCGCCATTTTGCGAATCGAGCGACCCCTATCAGCCAGAAATTTCTGGCACCCGCCTGAGCTGTGGAAACCCGGTCAGCGTGACTCCCCACCTGCATTTCGCATTCGGAGTTCGCCGGCTTTTCTTGGAAGTTTTTAATTGATTTGCCTGTTCAGGATGCTTACCCTTTGTGTGTTATCTTCCACTGTGAGAACCAAAGAATACCAGGGCTCCTAGACTGCTCGGCCTTCGCAGGAAACGAACGAACAGAGCGAACGCCAAGCAGCCCGCGACACAGGCAGTTCGACGTTCTTGGAGGATTATTTCCGTCGAGATAATCTCCAAAAAGCCTTCCCGGCTGTGTTCCGGGTCTTCGCGAAAAATAGCTGATAGGGTCGGGTCCGGGGTGTGGCGACAGAATAGACACGTTCGTTCATTTCCTTTGGAGCTGTGCAAAAAAGCTGCTGTCTTCTACATCTTCCCCAAAACGCGCCAGATTCCGTCCAAGTGTCGTGAAGTGACTATCGTCGACACTGTATATTGGATATGCTGTGTTATTTGAGACCTTTCTCAAATTCTGTTCGGATAACGCGGCACCGTGCGGTACGTACAATATATGTTGTTCGATTGATGAGACTCATTGAATTTCATGTTGTGGGCGGGGAATATCCATGCATTTCGGATATCCTGTGTGGTCAAATATTTTGACCTATATATATTGACACGGCTGAGTGTACGGTGCCGTCAAACCATGAACATAAAATGAAACAAACATTTCAGTTGCATTTGTTCTGTCGCGCACGGACTCACCAAAACAGCTTTCATTTCTTTGTTTTTGTTCCCAAAAATAGAGCACTGCTTTCTTAAATACCTCTATAAATTGTGTTCGCCACAGAACACAAAATAAAAAAAGAAAACGCGGCAATTTAGCCTCCACCAGCGTCCGGAATTGCGCCTACGCAGGCTGCCACTGCTCACTGACGGGAAACTCCACAGCTCAGCGCAGTCGGGCAACACTGACGTACACTCTCAAAACCAGGGACGCAAGCTATAAATCGCTTCGTTCGAGACTGCCGCTGGAAAGGTCTATAGGCAGGTGCGCTTCCATGAGAACGGTTTTGCCACATGAACATTCCCATACCCATGTAATAAAGTCAGCCATAAACTATTTTAGACACTTGTTTGAACCTGTATGTCAGCTCGTTCTTGGCTAGCCTTGCAATAACCTGAGTTATCGCTTACCCTGGTTAATAAAAATAAAAAAAATAAACTACATCAAAGCTTTTTTATATAAAATGTGTATTGTTCACATTAATTGCAAGACTTTAATTATATTATTCCAAGAACTGGTTTGAGTTTTAGAAATTCTACAATACGCTTTTTTACACGCAAGGTGTTTAGGCATTTGTCAATAACATTACCAGACGCATCTCTCTCTCTCATTTTGTTGGTTTAGAAAAGTGTTCATAATAGTCATGAAATAATCAAATATTTCAATAAAATTACCTTCATACTAGGATCAATTGCGCAAACACGGAATGTGTTCCCGCGGCATTCCTTGAGGCCTGTGGTCAACTCTGCCGGTATATTTACTTCTCTTTTAATTTTCCTTCGATAGAAACTGAGAGACTGAAAGAGATCCGAGCGTGCGATGGACGTCGGAGCAGCGAGCTTTGGATGGAATGATTGATGGGTACACTCACAGCTAACCGCTTTTGTCTCCACGCACTGTTGGAACGCGAACGCCAAAGGCAGGACCCTGGCGTTCGGTGTTCGCGTTTCAACTGTGAGTAGTGACAAAGGCAGCTAACTCTACATCCACCAAAGGTCCCCCTTTTGGCCAATTATTAGATATAAAAAATAAACTTTGACGGAGATGTAGGATTTCGGGTTCGTAAGCATGAGATCGTGGGCTCGATACTCGACCTGGCACGTTTAGAAGTTCGTTCACTGATTTTCAAATTCTTAGTGCTGCCTCTGAATTAACTGTTGTTTTTTGCGCACATTGTCCCCTGAAGCACGTGATACAGATTTCGTAACGGTTTCTTTGAAGTTTTGTCACACCTTCCTCGGAATCCCAGCCCTTATATGCTACCTCTATAAACAAACTTCGAACATATGTACTTTAATCATTATTTGTTTCTTGAATAAATTTTCAGCGTCACTAATCTAAGGAAAAGTGTATGTCTTCCTAGCATTAATCTGTGTTCATAGATTCTAGATAGTTTTGGCGTAACTATTCTCTTAAACATAAGAAAATAAAACAGCGAAAAAAGGTACAAAAAAAGCGACAAATCAACCAGAAAAGAACTCTGTTCTGCCCGGTTTGTAGCTTCGTTTTGTACCTTTTTGTTGCTGTTTTATTTTCTTGTGTTTAACGACAACCCACTAGCCAAGCTCTAAAACCTATTACAGTAACTATTCACTTTTGTTTGCTGTTGGAAACCCATCGCCGACCAATCGCTTTCACTTTAGTTATACGTATATTTCGGCTTCAGAGTTATCGCTGCAAAATGAACTTCATCTTACCCAGCTCTTTGCATGCCGTTTGATTGCATGTATCAAACTTGAAAGCTTCCTTCTCTAAACAAGGAGGAATAAAATAAAATGCATGGCCGTTATATTAATATTTCATAACAGATTCCAGATTTAATTGTAACAAACTGTTTGTAATACCAGTTTTATGAAGTCAGAGAACACAAATAAATACGTGTTGGAGCACGGGGACCTAAAGTGACGTTTGGCATATCACATAAATGCATGGCTTGTAGCTTGGGTTCTACTATCGAGATGGCGACATGCATACGCAGATTTTATTTTTATTTCTTTATGGTATCCGGTGGAACATGAAAGTGATCACTTTATTTAGCACTAAAAAGAAAGGACAGAAGCGACGTATAATAAAATATACCATAACTTCTGCTAAGAAAAACAAACTTATTTTTTAAAGTATATTACAGATATTTGAGCGGTTACGACAAGATGCCAAATCCACATAACGTATCGTTACATCAGTCAGACTTATAGGCGATTTTCGATAACTCTTTATGAAGAAAAGGCGGTCAATGGTGCTCGCGAATACACAATATGAAATTACTTCCCGACGGAAAACTGATCCAATTTTCTCATTGAAAAATTTAGGAAATCACTTCTAATGTTTTATTCAGATAACAATAAGTTCTGCAACTTTGGCATCTGATTCCACAGTGTAGGGTTACTGCGTGAGTCAAACGTATATTTTGTTGCAAGAAGAGACCAGAAACGTTGGTTTCATAACGTGTCGCGCTAGGATTTACACCAGAGGTGCGTGGAAGCACTGCCCCTACTCTATCAAATATTCACTGAACATGCTTGCTTGAATAAAAAGTAAAGCGTAAAAACAGCCGAGAGGCGTAGGGAACATATTAACAGATAACACATCAGTTTTTTTGTTGTTTTTTTTTGTTCTGTTTGTTGTTTTATTCGTTTGAAAAAATGAAATAATGCACTGACAATACACGATATATGAAATTGTTTGAACCTCTGTCAACACTCTGTGCGCTGCCATCTTTGTTAGAAAAAGTTTCATCGGCTGTTTTTTTTTTTTTTTTTTTGTCAATTTTGTAGCGTTGTCAGTAACAATTTTGGCCTACCGCTCTCCGTCATCGATCTACACCCGTACCTGCGAGCTAAGGATTAGTATTTTTTTACGCTCGTCCTTGCGCATGTACGTGCTCGTCGCCCCGCCGGTCAGTAGTATCTCGCTGTAACCAACATCGTGGGCGTAAACTTCAGCTCGAAATTTGGCTTTGATTGCCGGCAAAGGCACGGGCGCGCGGGCGTCTGGTTTTCCAAAGCGCTCTCTCTGCTGGAGTGCTTGTGCGAGCGAAGGATTCTTCAGAACTACGCTTTCGGGCCTTGGTGTTTGCCAGCACCGAAGCCAACTGGTGAGACGGAGCATGTTCTTCGGTGCCCCACTAGATGGCTTTTGGCATTTCGCGTATGGTCTAGTGGTACAGAAAAAGAACGCTTCGCTTCTGTCTGAGGAAGGTCGACTGCTATGGCCGAGGCGGAGGTAAGGAAGTAAGGAATTGACGTTTATAGGAAACCGAAAGCCCTACACGAGTCTATTTATTCACGTTGTCTCCTCGTGCGCCGCCGGTAGCTGGACGCCTGGGCGACCTTCGAAGGAATACCGATAGGGACGATGGGGCTAGTGGTAATTGTGAGGCCGATAAGAAAATATGCAGTGCGGCGTGCTCGGGGCGCTGGAGGTAAGCGATAGCCTAAATCGCTTACCTCTTTTGATGCCCAATCATAAAAGAAGTTTGAACGAGCATATGCACCCACGTGACGTGAACGTCCCCTCTCACATGCGAGTTGGGTGGGCGGTTTTAGGATTTGAAAGTGGCATTGCGATCACTTCCCTGCGGTAGGGTTTTCCTGGGCGAAGCAAGGGCGACGCTGACGAGACGACGGAGGCCCTGTGGTGAAGACGACGGACCGCGTCCGGAATTTTCAATCATCCGAAACTGAAAGAGCGGACGCGGTGCCCGACGTGGCCGCTGTGCTCGCCGGTGTGCTTGTGACCGCTGCGTCCGGTATGTTTTACGAGAGCAACGTGAAGGGAAGACCGACGATACGTGAAAGACGATGATTGGCAGACGATGGATCCCTGCGCGCGGACGAGCCCAACCCCTGAGCAGTTCGAGTAAAGGAAGGTGTGTCGCGTAGCCGGGACCGAGATGGGGTATTGCATCGTTAATGGCTGCAGACACGTTCAGCGAGTAGTTTCGTTTCACTGGCATGCTCTGGAGAATAGCTAAGCTCCTCGTCACTATGAACTTATACGTGGTTCTCTTAGATTTCAGAGAGCAACTGAGCTTTGCAAACGATGGATTTCGACCCTTGGTCTCGACAGTGACAGGATTTCATCAATGCACATCTTTGTTCGCTCCAAACCTAGTGACTTCGAAAGTCATGCAAGGCACACCTGTGCTCCTGCTAAATAAACTTGAGTTTGTTCAACGTTGTTCACGATTAGTATTAATAAAACACCCTTGTCAAACTCAGCTACACGATTCCCAATATTGGTTACCATTCATACCAAAATTACACCCAAATATATTGTGAAGCTGTGTGGGCGCCCCACAAACCTTTTCACGCAGTCTTGCAGAAATAAGTTGCTGTCAAAATTCGCAAGTATAGAAATTTTCATCGATTCAAAACACGTTTCTTAAGTTGAGCGAAAATACGCGCATCACTAGAACGCTGATATTCCATTACACGATGATAACGGAGTGTAAACAAAAAGATATATCCTTGAAATTATTGTGCCTAACACGAGCAAATAAAAGGCAGCGGGCAGATTCAGCGGCAACTATCATGAACTGAACCATGATAAAACCTGGTGCCACTCAATTCATTCATGAAACCATGCACCATTGAAGTGCCAGGTATGTCTCATTTCAGAGAAAAGACTTGGAGAGGAGAATGAGAAAAGGTGAGCTACTTCGGAGGACGGCTTGAGAAAGCTAAGGGACTGACGTCATACCCCCTTCTATTTTTTTTTTTTCTAGTCACCTTGCACTGCACTCTCAGAGGTCGACAGAAGCCTAAGTTACTACCTTAAATTCCGCCATATGTCGGCTGCTACGCCTTCGTTAGCAGACAGACCTCGTAGGTAAGTATTTGAAGCCCTTGACTTCTAACGTTTTACTCGAGTAAGAATGCCCAGTTACGTTTTTATACACAAGTAGCAGCACCTTCAGTCACCCATATCCTGTAAAACCTAAAGCGATAGGTTTAAAACCCTATTTATGCGGTCTTTTCGAACAGCCAACAATCCCTTTGACAAACGAGGTATATGTTTACAGATACTGAACGTTCGACGATGTGTAGTTCATTCCTGCGGTGATAAAAACAACTTTTTGTGCTCCCAATATCCCGGTTATCTTATCCGACACAAGGAGCGAGAAAAAAGATGGACAGTCGAAGCGCATTCCTTGAGTTGTGTATTTGCCGCAGTGTTGTGCATATCTATCTTTTGGCCGTACAAAGTCAAGGCAATTAATACGATAATCATTCAGTTCACTCTGCCAAGTCGCAGAAAAAAATATTCTATGCTCTTGAAGCCAGACGTTTGATAATTATATTATATAGCTATACTTCTTGCAGAGCATCCTCTGTAAAACACAGCGACTGGCGGATACGTTTTTAATTTAAGAAGAAACTTATCCGAGAAAAACGACGGTGTCTGACCAAATACATTATTTTCTTATTTGATTTTTTTTTTATTTATGTAAGTCTCGCATGATTATAGCTTTGTGTTCTTGGGACGTTAAAATGCGCTGATTGCCTTATTGCAATATAAATTAAATCGAAGGTGCTGTCGAAAGCAGCAAGCCTGAGCTGACGGCAGACGTCTGAAGTACATGACATTTAAAAGCGATTAAATCAAACAATCCGTCGGATTGCGACATAATATGTGGCCTCACATCTAAAAACCGGAACAACTGAAACGGAATAAAAGAACTTTGGGGGGTTTAAAACACCGCTTATTAAAAAAGGGCATATAGAGGGCCCAAAGAAGCGACTAGCGATTGTATTTACCTAGACTTACAAGAAAACATTACGTGAAGACGACATTTACAATCCAGGGTGCCTACCTACATTTCAAGAACCTTGGTCAGGCCGTCGGGATCTCGACCAGAACCTAAAACTGCGTAGTAGGAAGCTGCAGACCAGTACTCCGCCTCTAAACCACCGAACCTCATCACTGATTTACGTGGGAGAACAAGATGCAAAACAAGAGAAGAAACAATAACCGGAATAACGCGGGCACTTAGCAAGAAGACAGAGCTGAAACTTTAGAAAGTAGAAGAGGCCGACTAACGTGTTTTACATAGATCTGCTTTCTTGAGCGTTTCACCTCGTCTATCTTGTACTGTACAATATCTTTAAGACATATGCTCGTATATATAAAAGGCACAATATAAACGTAATAAACAAAATAGGTAATTGCCTAAACATCCGGTCCCTATACGTGTTCACTGACTCTGTATTTGCTTAAATGAAGACCTAGCTCAGATCTTTTCTTCACAAAGAAGGCAAGGTATGATAAGAGGGGAGCATTCGGTTTGATTTGATACTAGTTTAAAATATTGTGTATTATGGATGATATTGCAAACGGGTCGAACAGTTAAGTTGAAACCCCAAATAAAAAGCCTTGGAAACATTAGTTACGCTTGCTTAAAAATCAAGCGTACTTCACACATATGACAAATAGCGCAAAACATTCTGTCTACATTATAAACTATTTTAGAACAGCATGCAAAATATTAGTGCCAGTTTTTATTATTAAAATTACGCAAACAGGCATTAGAATAGCACACCTTCGCGACCCAAACCGAAGCCTCTCTCGCTTCTAGCGTTAGCGAGACGCACTTGCAATATTTTTTCTGTACAAGAAGTGCTGCAACCTAATGCATTCAAGATTTTTGTCTTCATTCAAAAATTTAACATTTGTTTTATCTTATATGCTACACCACAATTCGACACCCTTTGGAGTGAGTTTGGGCGGTTACGTTATCTCCGAAACCTATTGGGCGCCTATGACACATAGAGCAACTTCTGGGTTCACAATACGCACAGCAGTGTAAATGCCATTTTATTAAGTGGGCAAAGTGCTTAGGTTCGCTATTTTAAAAGTTTCCATTACCACAAAGGCATGGACTCCGAACGTTTCCGCAAAAGAGGAGTATTATTACTCTCTTGCTAATGCCGGCTACAGCACTTGCAGCGAAAATAAAGGTGATCTGTCTAACGTATACTCCTTCGATAAAGGGAGAACATCTTTGGTTTACACTAACGCCTCACACAGTTGATGCACTCGTTAAACAGGTGCATAAACAAGATCACAAAAACGGATAGGTGTATATTGCATGGCACTGGGATGTTTTTTTTGCTTTTTCACGAACAATGGCCGCACTGAAGAGCTATCTCGTATTTATGTATTTATTTTTTATGATAAAAAACGAAACACATGTTAACTACAATTCTTTTGCTTGGAAATGTTTACATATCAACTCATTATAAACTCCAAACATATTTCACGCTTGGCCCTTTAATATGACTTCTTCGATCGTGGTAGATTTTTCACTTAAGAGACAGCGTAGTCCCCATTATAAGGACCACTAATTATTGGGTTAAATCATTAATTTCAATGTATTACCTTTCTTCTGCCCGAGCCGGCAGTCGATTTCCAATGACACAAGCAGTATGATGAGATAAAACCAAGGTCCCCGTTTACTTGCATTCATTGCTTCAGCAGGAGTTAATCTGAAAAGTATGGTATTTAAGATATTTTTTTATTTTTATATTTTACACAGTTAGAGATAAAAAGGCTGATTTTCCCGTGCTCAATATATACTAACACAGGCAGCGTCACGAGCAACTTTTAGGAGAAAAAACAAACGCCGTGTTCTTCAGGTCTTCCCGAACGTATTCTGATTAGTCTCATAGGGGTTTATCACATTGCAATGAATATAGAGTATCAATGATATTTTACTTTCAAAAAATACAGTCGCACTTTACTACCGTTCAACCTGTTTCCTTTTGTGTTAATACTAAAACACTTCTCTCGAATTCAGTGCGCTGTCTTCCCATAGCATATTTGCACCCCTTCCTCTGGTGAAAATATATACATATAATAACAAAGGAATTCGTGATAAATAAAGCTTAATGTTTTTTTTTTCTTTACTATAATTACCCAGCCGCTGTAAGCAGGCACTACAAACCAGGGTCACGAAGGTGTCCAGCGTCGGTGGCAAAAGGACGGTCAGAAAGACGTGAATTTTGATTTGTCCAAATATGTTGTGGCGCTGATTACTGCATGGGGTGTGTGGGCTGTTCACTGCAGAATGTTTGCAGGGCGTCTACGCGGTTGTGCATAATGTTTTTGCCCAACTTAATCGTTTTTGCAAGAACGTACGAGGTTTATTTTCTTTTGCAATTTAACCTTCCTCAGGTATTCATTTTATTTTTTACGTATCTATCTATTAGGTTGTTTATTTATTAACTACTCGCCTTTCCTTCTAACGTCAGCTGGACATATTTTCGGTTCAACATAAAGCGCGAAGACGTGCAGTTATTTCGGTGGATATTGTCATCGCTCTTTTCTCACGGTTGCAGACAACACAGTTGCCTTCTCTTGTACAAATTACGAAGACTTATTAGCCTTCGTCATATAAACAGGAATGCTCAAAGGTTCGCAACAGATGACTAATTGCTGCACAAAAGGAAGAAAACCATGAAGATGGATAGTTGACCAAGTTAGTAACGTTCATCATATGGGAGATTTCATTTATAATCGTGCAAGAGAATATGACGGGTCCTTAAAAGGTTCCGGGAAAAACATTTTTTGGTCGAAAATGCGCGACTACAAAAGATCTCCAAATTGGAATTATAGAATTTTTTTTTTTTTTGGTTCTTGAGTTTTCGGCTTGCAAAGGGCAGAAGTTAGGTCTTCCGATATTTTCAGTTTTTACGAGCGGCACATTTTGAAGTTTCACAACGTTTAAGATATCTTTTTCAAAATAATATTAATTTTCTACTGCTTTAAGATGAGATATAGAGCACTTGTGGAGCGACGACCTGCCGAGCACGTCAATAAGCGTGCATGGATTTTTTTCTTTCTTCAAACAACTTCCTTTACACAATAGCTACGCTAGGCTTGTTCAAGCCTCCCATTATCTGTCTTTACTATTGGCACTACTGTTTGTCAAACCAAGCGTACGTTCCAAACCTTGTAAAATGAACTGGATTGAAGCAATCACTTCCGATTGCATCGCGCCGCTTCGACGCTTGCTTTCCCTTTTCTGCAATATGTGCGTTTCCCCAAATTCCTTTTTTTTATTTTTTATTTTTTTTATTGAGATATGAGTACCTCCAAGGTTCTCGTAAGCTGCATTGGCCATTTTTCTTGGACAGAAAGTAGGAATGAAAGGTCAATCCACGGGCTGAGCAGGGCATAGACATGCCGCCACTCTTTTTAACATTATGAGTGTCGCATCCCCTTTTTAGATAGCTGTCGTGATTGTTTATTTAGTACAGGCAGGGTCACTATAAACATTAGAAACGACTACCATATGACTACCCATGCACGTTATAGAAAATAAGAAGCTATAGACACCCTGCGATTTCCAGGATGCTGTACCAGAGCTATGGCTCTCGTGCCGCCGCCTTCGAGAGCGGCAGCCCATCCCTTTCCGTTTGCGTCGCTGGCGGGTACTATGGTGTCCATATATCTGATTTCTTATCTCATTTCGTTAGACACAGTTTATTAAAACCAGAAAAGGGAACAACTAAATCTTATCTATTATAATCAAACGTGATCAAACCAGAATTCAGCCTTGAAGACATTAAGAGTCTTTGCCTGTGTGACCCTACCGAGGAGTGGGTTTTGCTGACCAGCAAGGTGTGTCCAAAAGGAGGTGGTTTAACCCTGGCATCGTTGTCAACGACGGAAGACGAATAAATTGAAATAGCCTTGTGGGAATCTAGCGAACTGCTAAAGAAACTAATGGGAAGTAACGCATTTTGCTATAAGCACAGAAAGTGCGTAACACGGTACTTCCCCCATTAATGCTCAGCGGCTTGATATAAGCTCGGAAAAGTCGCATCTCAAGGCTTGTGCCATCGTGTTGCATTTTGATTTCGGGGAAAACTGGAGCGTCGTTCTTCCGTGAGCGGTACATTGCTTTCATTGGAAGAACCAAATCGCGTCTCTATTCACCAGACGCACTTCGCCATTTCGCCTAGTTGAACCTTATTTTTGAAATGACTAGCCTCCCCGTTGGAGATGTGGACAAATTTCGTCAATATTGGAAGGTCCTCTTCCAGCCACTCGTCAACTGCAAGCAGAGCGAACAGTGCGTGTGCTGTATGGTGCACGATGTTGTCGCTGACAACTCCGAAACTGTAGATTTTGAGCTCCGTTGTAGCGACTACAATGGAGCTCAAAATCTACAGTTTCGGAGTTGTCAGCGACAACATCGTGCACGATACAGCACACGCACTGTTCGCTCTGCTTGCAGTTGACGAGTGGCTGGAAGAGGACCTTCCAATATTGACGAAACTTGTCCACATCTCCAACGGGGAGGCTAGTCATTTCAAAAATAAGGTTCAACTAGGCGAAATGGCGAAGATACAAGAGTGCGTCTGATTCCGTCGGGAGAGTTCTCAAGCACCGAGCCCCTTTGCACCACCTCAGGTCTTCAGAACTGGAAACCATTGGAAGTGCTGATGACTTTGCTCGTGCAATTTTGAACGGGCCTCACCAGTATATCTGAAAATACGGCTGCATGAAAGAAGCGAAATTTCGCGTGCTGGAGCTCTCAAACAAATTTATCTCGAAAATTCATTGCCTGACCTAAATGTGTGGGAAACGTATTATTTAGGCTTGTTAAATAAAAGGTGTTTTAATAAGTTTATTTAAAGAAAAGTTGTGAATCTTGAATTTTCCAAGTGAAATTGACGTCTGTATAAAAGACAATTATAACATAGCAGTCATGCTTCATTTTTACTAAGTGGTACATAAAGTGCATCATTAATACTCTGGTCGAGTTCCAAACGAATATATAATAATTACGTAAAAGATTTGCCAACCGATAATTTCTTTTCATATTACAATGGATGTATAAATATGTCTTCTTTTCAAACGCGCTGTTTAATATGACCAAACCATATATCTAAAAAACTTTTATTCCATATATAAGAGCACATAAAAATTATTTCATATATTCAAATTGAAAAATACGTATTCTAAAAAAGACGTATAATTTTGTACTTTTAGCATTTCTTCTTGACTTGATTATTGTTGATTATTCTGTATAACTATACTATAAACATTACAGTGCTGATTATTCTGTATAAACTATACTTAAATTCCCAATATTATAATTTTTGAATAGGCTTAGATACAAGCTTATATTTTATATGTTTCTCGTGCCTTAAATAATTGTACATCGAAAGTTATTTCGATTTAAACATGGCCCTTTATTGTCAGAGGTGCAAGATTCAAAAGTATACATGTCCTAAAACAAACTAGAAAACACAATTCTAGAAAATATTGTCACGGGTGGTGATTGGAAGAACAATACATAAACAGGAGGAAATTAAAGTCTACTGAGGCGAACTTGTGCCCAAAATAAAGAGAACACAAAGAATAAGAACAGAGTGTCGCGGGCGTCGAAGTCGGCGTAACAGCAGGTTCGAGCGCTGGGGCGAGACTGACTGGGCATGCCAGGCGGAGCCCCTTTTGTACACGCGTGTGCTTGTGGAACATTCGGCGTAGAAGGTTCGGTGCGTAGAATATTCTAACCTCGAATCAGCAAGACGGTTCTCGAATTTACAAGAACATCACAACACAGCGTCCACAAAAATGTGTAGACGCGGCCAGGAATCGAACCCTGTCCTTCTGCGTGGAAGACAAGCGCGATAACCGTTAGGCCGCGTGCGCGCTGTCTACTTGGTCAGCTGCGCTCGCGGCATTATTCCCCCCTTGAAAAAAAAAATTCATCTTTCCGTTGCGCCACAGAACGAAAAAAAACACAAATCCACAATATAAAGTACGGCAGAATCGCAACCCACAGTTCACAGTTCGCCGTTCACACTCGTCGACGAGAGTGCAAAATTCTATCGTTCGTAATACGGATTCAGCCGGACGACGTGCACCACCTTGGGTCGCGGCTGACGTCTTGTCGATGGTCGTGTTCCGTCGGGGAGAACTTCGCAGTTCAGACCTCCGAGGCGTCGGATGATCTTGTAAGGCCAAAAGTGGCGCTTCAGCAGTTTTTCGCTGAGACCGCGGCGCCGTATCGGTGTCCACACCCACACCCGGTCTCCGGGTTGGAAGTGGACGTCCCTACGGCGAAGGTTATAACGGCGTGCGTCGACTCGCTGTTGGTCTTGAATCTTGATTCTTGCGAGTTGACGAGCTTCCTCGGCCCGTTGAGAGATCAGTTGAGCGTCGTCGTTGCCATCGTCGGTAGGCACGTGAGGCAGCATGGCGTCGAGCATCGTGGTAACAGTCCGGCCGTGTACCAGTCAGAACGGCGTCATTCCAGTGGTTTCTTGAACCTCTGTGTTGTACCCAAACGTAACGTACGGCAACACCTCGTCCCATGTCTTGTGCTCCACGTCGACGTACATGGAGATCATGTCGGCGATGGTCTTGTTGAGTGTCTCCGTCAGCCCGTTTGTCTGCGGGTGGTACGCCGTGGTGCGACGATGGCTGGTGTGGCTGAGATGAATGATTTCT